TATTCAGCACATTTCTGTTGCTGCCTTTTTTGTGTCTTCTGTTGTTTGTGAGGCAAAAGAGTCTCCCACTTCTTGGCATGCAAACATGTGTCACTGGATCTTTGCTTTAGCCCTTGGAATCGTAGGTTCTGGTGCTCCATCCAATACTGCTGTTACATAGACAAGATGTGAAAGTTGTGTCACTGTCAGCTTTGCTGGGTGGAGTGTGAACAGTTAATTTCAGCATTTCTGAAGAAAAATAAAACCAAAACAACACAGAAGGGAAAACTTGGGCAGTTTGGGTGTATTTCTCATACTGTTAATGTTTCATAAAGTGTACATTTTGGAGAAATGTAACTTTGGATGTATTGTCTAAGTACAGCAAATACTCAGTAAAAACTCTTCAAAGCAAACTTACTAACTGCTTGAATCTGATCCCTCAAACTTTTCTAAGTCAAGTCCATTGTCTGATAAAAAGACTGAATTGCTATTCTTCATTCTCTGTGGCAAATAAGGCCTCCATCCTTCTTTCACTTATGCTTAGGGCATATTTGCCTTTTTGTCCAGCAATGGAAACCTTTTCTGAAAATCATCTGTAATAAAATCTTTTTACAGCATCCTGTGACTGTGGTTTATCAGTGCTGGTCTACTTACAACAAAATCCTAGCAAAATTAATGAATAGGTTACAAAAATACAGAGGTTCAGAAATACTTGGAGTAGTGAGTGGTGTTACTGGAACACATTTTTTTCCATCTCATTTATTCCTCTGTCCCGTGGGAAGGAATTGCTAATACAAATTACTAAAGCAGGTGACAGAATTGTTTTCTTACTACATAATTGCAGAAGTAAATAAATGAAGTGGAAAAATGTATCGGGTCTACTCTAGATAACTGCAGATAGTTTTCAAAAATACAGCTTTTTACAGGGCCTTAAGGCTGCTTGTTTTTCTCCTCCTGCAGAGTGAATGCATAAGGAGTAGGGTGGATAGAGTTTGTTTGTTTGGGGTTTTTTTTGGTGTATGCTTCTATGGTACAATGCTTTTATAATGATGCTCATTCTTTTCAGTCAGCTCTTAAGTCTTCCCTTCTGTTCCTTCATGTCTGTGACCCCAGGATTCTGCAGAAAATGTATGTTTACAGGAGAAATCCTTGCATCAGCATATTAGTTTTGTATGCTCTCATTGGCTTTTAACTCTTGTATCTTAGCTTGTGTCCACAGAAACATCTTCTCATCAGTAGGTACTCTTCAGAGGTTTTTAAATAAGGGATCTTCAAAAATACTTGCTATAATAAATAAAAGTAAAGCTGTTCTTTGTATATTATATATTTTTAATAATTCCCTGTCTTAAATCACAACCTCATTTAATTAAGTAATTAGTGAGTTGGGGTAGGATTAGAACAGGGAATTTTGCAGTTTGATGAAGGCTTGTCTGCAATTGCAATCTTTAAGTTTATGTTGACTTGCAGTTCATGGATGAGAGAATGTGTGTTGCTAGTTTCACTTTTACAAGAAAAGAAGTTAAAAGAGTTTCAGAGATGTTCGCTGTACTGAGAAGTTCACAGGTTTTTAGAAGTATATGTTTGCTGGGGGGAGGGAGCATGGCTGTACAGATGGGTTGCCAGGCAATTAATTCTTCCTACTTGGAATAGGAGGCAATCCTGCTCTCATAAGCAGTGCAGTATTATTTGCAAAAGGAAACTACCCAATACCATTTTTCCTATTCTCTTTCTTCTTTCTTCTGTCTTCCCAGCTCCTTTCCTCTGCTCTGCATTTCTGAGAAACTGCTCAGGATTGATATGATAGCAGAGCTGTCATTCTCTTTAACAAAAAAAAAGTCACTTTTATTCTAGGTATTTTAATAGAGTCCCATTAAGGATGTATTGCTGACTGAAATATTGGCGTGAAGGGCTCTCACTGAGCTGAGCCCAGGAATTAAGAAGTCAGGAAATGGGCTGCTGCATTGCTAAAGAACCTTGTGTGACACAGTATCTCCTGATTGGGGGGATCATTACTGCTATTATGACTCGACTTGCGTAGGAATTTTAAATTTCATCTGAATGTCAGTAATAACCCTCTTAGCAAATTATCCTGAATAAAATCACGAAGGCATTTTATATAATAGGTGTTGAATTACTGGATAGATTTGCTAATTAAATACTCTTTGTTCTGCTGCAGTTGACATTACAGGGTAAGATCTTGAACAATTATTCTCAACAGCTGTACTTTGTTAAGGGAAAAATTAACTACAAAGTTTATTTTTTTTCTACACTTGAAATTGGCAGATTTTTGAAATGTGCTTGAAAAAATTCCATCATCCAATTGGTAATGAGAGGATAAATATGCAGGTGTTGCTGTGAAATCAGATAACTACTGACTGCCTTATTAATGAATTTAGCAATACTTTATAACCTTCTGTTTTGTAGCTGTTGGCACTCACAAGTGATCTCCTGTCAGAACGGGTGGCACTAGCATATGCCAGTCATTTGATGAAGCCAACTTGGCTGTGGCCCTCTTGTTGTGATTACCTACACCCACTGCTGTCCTCAGGGACAACTGAGAAATGGTTTTAGCACCGCCAGACAATTTTTTTTAGTAGAGGGTATTACTTTTTAGAAAAGAAAAAACGTTATCTTTCTCATTATTAATGGAATTATTTCAGAGAGTGAAGTAGAAAATGTGAGATTATCAAGGGAAAATTGATAGGCCTTCCTTTATTTTCAGTATAAACTCTTCATTTTGGTGTAATTTTTCAGTTTTGTTTCAGGGGCTCCTGTTTGCTTTTGGAGTACTAAGGGAGCGGTATAACCTTTCTCTGTAGGAGTTAGCTAATAGGTGAGAGGAAGGGTTATGGGATGGTGAATATGTTGGAATTTTGACTACTTTATATGAAATCTGATATCATGTACCATTGATGTGTCTTTAGAATAATTTCAAAACTCCATAGAAGGGTGGTGGGGTCGAATGTCTGAATCACTCACTAGGAGATGAATAGGAGTGGAATACCCTCTTTTTGAGCTTCCAATTAAAATGGAATTGTGTGTGTCTGATTCCAGTGACAGGTACAGCCTAGCAGGAATCTGCAGTTACGGCTCACTGTTTTCCTGGTCTATAAAGAAGACTGAGGACAGCTGAGCTTTCTGCAGTATTGGGCTTCTGCAGAGTTCAGGCATCACATTGTCAGAGTGCCTAGTTTGCAGCACCAGTGAATGGTCTTTAAATCAACTGGATGTTTTGAACTTGACCCAGAGAGTGTAAATCCACAGATCTATGTGCTTGGGGAATTCCTTGATAAGTGTTGTGAGTTCAGCTGTGTCAAAGTTACATCATAGTTTGGAACTGAACTTGTCTTCAAGTGCCTTGAGGAGAATACAGCTTTCAGTGCATAATTGCAGCCAAAATAAAAGTCATACTTGCCACTGTGGTTACATAAAGGTTCTGAAATACTGAAGAAACTTGCCATTAGTGTTAAAGGAATGACGCTGTTGTCATCCTGTTTGTGTGCTGTTGTGTAGAGGTGGAGATTTCACCTGCTTCAGAATTCCTTGCTGTGATAGCATAGTCAGCATCACTACAGCCAAGAGTCTTGGCTTCATTTTAGGCTCCTTGGCCTTATGAAAGTAAGGAGATTTCCCTGAACATGATCTTATTCCCACTGAGCATGGACAGCTCTTGCCTGGTTGTCCCTTTTCTTTCCTCATCCCTGTTGATTTTTCCTGCTCAGCTCCCTGTCATCGGCTTCTTGACTAAAAGTCTTCATTCTACCTTTTGGCAAACATGGCCAAGGAGTTTTGCATTTAATATGTGAAAAGTAGTGAAGGTGAAATTTGGTTACTAAATTTGATGTAAGCTGTTAATAGTGTGTTGCCTGACTATCTTTTGAGTTCCAAATTTGGGTTTACTTAACAGACTCTGATCTATCATTGCTGTAACTTGTGATTCAGATTAATCCTCAAGAAAATTTAAAGTATAAATTTATATGACTAGCAGGATTAGCTGAAGAAAAACTGAGATCGCTGCTGAATGGCAATGGAAAGGACTGAAACCAGGGAAGTGGAATCTGGAGCTGTGTGCCAGAGCACCAGGATGTTGATAAGAAGGAAAATGGGGAGTACAGTGGAACTGTGGCCAAGTGACTGAAGGAATGGACCAGATGTTGGTTCTCATGCAGCTGTGCAGAATTCACCAAGCTCTTCCTGCTGCTGCAACTACACTTTTTTTCATTAAGCTAATTTAATTATCCCTTTTCTGTGCTACAGCTGTAACTGTGGCTTCAGATGAGGCGCTCTCCCCACCCTCCACTGTGCTGAGCACTGTTAGAGATGGAAGCAGCATGAGGTCTCTTTAGCTATTTCTCAGGTTCAGAGAGGTGCTGTTCAGAGCATTTGGGGAACTTGGCATCCATTCTTGGTTGAGGAACAAGCCTGATTATACCCCTTGATTCAAGATCTGTGTCCTGTCTTTCTCCCAGCTCCTTGTCCCTGTTCTGGTTTCCATAAGGAGTTTGCTTTTTGATGACCCATTTTGACATCGTTAGAAGGGTAATCAACCTTTTGACTAAGTCTTCTTAAGTGAGCACCATCCAGGCTGGACTGAACGAGACAGGATGTTTTTGGGAAAAAATTCAGTGACATGAAGAAATAAGATGATGGATATGAAGGCGATAACTGACCTAAATTACTGAAAGAGACTTAATTCTAGCACTTGCTGATTAAGTTGTATTTAAGCCATTTGATTCAGTGTTCTTTTTTTTCCTAAGGTAGAATGTGTGCATGCACATGCAATTTTGAGATTTGTTTTAATCTTGTTTTAGGGGAGTTAATAATAGCATTAATACAAGGTCAAACGAGAATTTACTCATGTAATAGGAGTATTGAGGTGACTGTGTGTTGCCAGGAGAGAGGTAGTTTGCTTTGTTTTGAAAGGTGAGAGCATTTGGAGTTAGCAACCTAATGGATATGTTTGCCTGTGTTAGCCTGTAATTATATCATATGCTAATCTTTGATTATTTTTTTTATTTCAGATTTTGATGCATACCAAGGAGATGGTGCAGAAGGTAATGCTGAGCATTTTCATTAAACAACAACACTTAAAGAGCACACCTGGTGAAATTTTTTTATTCTAAGAGAGCTGTAACCCAAACAGACCTGAAATCACTTCTTAGGATGCCTAGTTTACAAATGTAATCCTTCCTGATGGATTATAGCTTTTTCCTTTTCCTACCACAGATATGATCTGGACCCTGCTTGAAGCCTATGTGGGCCTGTTTCAAGCAAATTAGCAACAGTGCTAATTAGAGTTTTCTCATAAACCTCTTACACCATGTGTTCTAGTGGTTTATTATGGTTTATTTTTTGGCATCCTTTAAACTCTGTCATGGGGTGGTTTTTCGACTCTGTGGAGTTTAACATGGACATAGCCATGTTGCAGTTTTTACAGCTGCATTGATTTTCCACCACTGAAAACGTCAGGTTTTCATTTTTTTTTTCAAATTTATATGATGCAATTATATGCATCTGCCTATATTTTTTTTTGTTGTTGTTGTTCTGACATTTACTGGTGTTGGTAATTTTTATTTTTGCTTTTTTTTTTTTTTTTTGCTATACATTTCATATGCACCTCAGGCTTTGTGGTCCTCAGTTTGTCTAGAATTTGCTCCATTATCCAGAGTATTATGGAAGTATGATTGGTGTTTGAATACAATCTTCTCCAAGCAGGGCATTTAAATTGTTAAAAGAATCAGAATCAGAAGTGATGTGAGGGGCAGTGTGTCAGTCAAAGAGAAGGGATTCAGTAAATGTTATGTCCATCTCTGGATGTAATTGTTCAGTAGTTCAACCTGGAAAGAGGAACCTTGTGGGTCATGGTAGCTAGATCATTCTCCAAAAGGAGCATGCCCTGAAAGATCTGCTGCCTAGGGGAGGACAATCACAGGTGGTTGGATTAGGAAAAGTTAAAAGATGGGAGAGGGAAGATGGAAATATGAAGCCATCTTCATAATCTGAAAGAGTGAAGAAGAGCAGCCTAATCTGGACAGTGCTGTGGTATTCTCAGTTGCTGTCATCCACTAGCCAATGCTTTCACAGATGTGTTTGAAATGGAGAATCTAAGTATTTTTTCTCTTTTTTTGTTTTTATTTTTTTGTAGTATTGTGGTGGCTGAAAAAGGGATGGGATACCTGACTGTGATATTACCTTTCAAGCACTTTGGCTGACTGCCTTGTCTGAATTTGCCCAACAGTCTTGTGGAAGTGATTTTCTTGTGTCTTAGCAGCCCAAAGTTATTTCTGATCCGAGTTCCTGCTGTTTCTCAAGATCAGACTTGTTCACTGACTTATTTTTCTAGTATTCATTTAGTAAAATGTTACCTATTTGTATTATGTACACAAGTGGACAGTGGTCTTTTTAACGTATCAGTGGCTGAAGTTTGTTTATTCTCTCTAAATTCAAATAGGTTTTAATAAAATGCACAGACCTATCAATAAAAATGTATTTTACTTGCTAGTCTACGTTCAGTGTTTAAGGAGTAGTATATAGACAATGATATTTTTGAACCTTGAAAGTTATGTAGGACTTGTAGAAGATGGAGTGGTTCTTTTTTGTTTTTCAAAGCAATTTTGTTTGTTTAGATGAACCTTGAAGTGATTTATGGAGACACAGATTCCATTATGATAAACACTAATAGCACCAGTTTGGATGAAGTCTTCAAGCTGGGGAATAAGGTAAGGAGCTTTCTCTTTTTGAAGGTTTCCTACATAGGTCTGTGTTGTTGCTCTGAGTGGAGCAGATGGTATTAAGAGAGGATTCTGTGGCACAACCAGAGAATGTGCCATAAGGAAGAACTTCACAATTTGTGGAACCTATGAAGTAGTAAAAACTCAGAGTGCTCTTTTTCAGGTGTAGCTATTCTGTGCATTTTTAAAAGTGATTAAATGAACCATTTCATTGCATAACAAGCTTTTTTTATTAATCCTAAAATAGCAGGAGATTATATCAATATTTGGCGAACCAAAGCGTAACGCATAATTTCTCCTCCAAGTTAATTTCAATTACAACATGAACAGTTCTGATTTTTTCAGTTTTTTTCACCAGGGATATCTCTCAGTTTAGTTGTATAATTTGTATGACCCTCAATATGTTATCAGATTTCCAGTGGTAAGTTCAAATATGAATTTTCATGGTATGCCAGATACAGAAGATACCTGATTGATTAGGAGCTGGCAATTGATGATGTGGAAGTTTTGTGACCCTCTGAAATTGTGGAGGAAAAGTGAGAAATACTTAGAACTTTCTAAAGAAAAGATGTAAGATAAACTGTTTCTGAAAGACGGAAGAAACTGATGAAAATGAGAGCTATGGAAACTCTAAAAAAAAACCTAAAGAAAGCATAGATGTATTCAGTATAGTATTAAACAGAAGTAATTTAATTTTAAGACAGAGTGATTCCAGGGTTTTTTAGAATACTTCTACCTTCATGCTAGTGGTGGGTACCTTTAGAAGCAGATGCATTCAGGAGCAGAAAATGGGATAATAACTTGATATCCTAACTGAGTAGCAGGAGGGCTGCTGGCATGGTAGACAGCACTCTTTCTTTTTTGTTTGCCACATGCAAGATTATATATAATTTCTAGTGTATATACAGTAGTGTATAAGAAAGTTTAATCTTACTCCAGTGTAAGATTGTGTGTGGTTTCAATCTGGTTTATTTTTTGTCCCTGTGCTCCCATTTGATGGCTAAACATTACAGAGGATAGTTAAATAATAATAACAACTTTTATGAAATATGACAAGATAAGCATAATAGGTTAAATACTTCTGAATTAGAGTCAGATTTTCAGAGAGAATAGGTATGTGTTTGAACTTGTCAGCTGCTTAATGAGAGTAAAATCTTAAGCTTTTTTAATCCATTGTACTTCTGTATTATGTATCAGTTGAGGTTGTTTTTTTTTAATTGAACAAAAAAAGGACAGAAAGATATGTTTTGATTAAAATAATGTACAAAATATAAAAAGTGAATAACCTTATCTCTGTAAATCAGCACAATCAAACCTAGCATCAAAATTGCAGATGTTGTGGCTTTCAATATTCTTTCTGAGGCAGAAAAAAGTGATTCATATCTGTCTCATTTTACGTTTCTAGTTTGTTTGTTTGTTTATTCCTTAAGAAAGTGACAGGTTTGGTTTTTTTTGCAAACACTTTGATCATTTACATTTTCATTTTTTGCATAATTCCTTTTTAAAAAAATCAGTATAAAGAATTGTGTTTTGATGAGGAGCACTCTCAAGAAGTGTCTCTGCTCCACTGCATAATAATTTCTTTCCCAAAGTTTTGTGTTCAGAGGTGAAGAATAATATTTACATCGCTTTTACTGTACTTTTGCTTTATTGTAGACAGTATGGCACAGAGGCACAGAGGTTTAATGCAAACAATTACAGTGAGAGCAGTTAGTGAGTGTACCCCTGTTCTGAGTAAAGTGTGAATTTATGAATTGTCTTCAGCAATGAAGCATTCCTCCAAGAAATTAATTTTGTTTTCTTATTGGAGAAAATTGTCTTACGTGCCTTCTGAATTCCCTTGTTTAATGTGTGTGTTCTCTCCCACCCTCAACCCTCCAGTATTTACACCCATGCCCTTTTCAGTCATTACTTAGTAGAAGTTTTTTCTCATTTTCTGTGTTCTTATGAATCAGATTTGTTACCGGGTTTTGAGCACTTGGTTAGTATGCTGTAAAAAAGAAAAATTGAAAAATAAAATTGCATAAAAATGTTCAGAGGAATTGTTTGACTGTTTTAAGAAAGAAAATATGAACCTTGTATCGAAATAGTTTTTGCCTCAAGATGTCCTTCAAAACTTAGAAATATACAGGGGACATCAAAGTAATGGTAATTCCTGCAATTGGAAGAACAGAGATCTAAGTGAGAAAAACCAGGTACACACAAATATGTATACACGTAAATGAAAAGTTTGTAAGGAAGGTTTTGTTTAAAATAGTAATCTGAGTACAAAGCTAGATAGGAAACCAGTGAGATTTTATGCTGAAGGTCCTGTTCTTGGTGAGAAGTGCCTATATATCCTGTATGTGATACATCTGTATCTAGATGGCAAAAGAACCTGAATGCATATCCAACTTCAGTGAGACATGAGAAGAGGCTAGTTCATAGTTGGTGGTAGAAGTGTAAGCAAGAGTGAATATGGATACTGAAAATCAGCAGGGAAAGTTAAGTTGTAGAGGAAAGAAAGTAAAAAGTAGAATATGAAGACAGAACAGGACACCTGGCATATGGAGGTACTCTGTTGAAGAACATAAAGTAAAAACATATGAAGGAAGAAAAAAGCAAGTGGGAAACTTTCAGCCAAGCCAGTAGGTGGATAGATGTGTACTGGAACCAAAGTTTGTTGTTGAAGGTTTATGCTGTTTTGAGCTGTTGGCACTTCTGTTTTCTTAGAATAGAGGCAAGAAATATTTGGTACTATATTAAGACAACGTATCAGTGCCATTTGAAACTTTTGTATATGCATAAAACATAGCCTGTGTGTAGAAAAACTTCATCTTTTCCTCTCAAGGAAATCAGAAAAGGTAGGTATATTGTGGGGAAAGGTAAAAGAAATTTGCCTGTTTTTCCTCAACATGCACACACTAAGTTCTGATCTGCAGTCATAATTTTTCTCCCCTCCCTGGTTTAGGGTGAGAGTGGGAAGAAATAAAGGTGCCTTTGCGAGATAGCTTTTCTGTCAGGCTATTTGCCTTTTCTGTCTAAGTGACCATCTCTTGTCTCTGCCTAGTAAGTAGATCCCTGCTGTGAAATTCCTTGTTTGCTTAATTTATATGAGAGGTTAGATGGAGTAGCTGTTCTAGTAAAATGAGCTGGAGTCAGTTATCTCCAAGATCACTTCAATCTCATGTTTATCTGCTTTGCTTAATTTTATTAAGGAGTTAGATGTACCGAGCTGTAGATACTAAAAAAAGTCAATGGGTGAACCCTAATTTTAGTAGTAGCTTGTAGTTACTAGTGTGTAATGAATTAATTATATCTGACCAGTCTTTAAAATGTGTATGCAAATACACAGTGTGTAATGTAACTTGTTTTAAAACTTAAGAACAATGCATTCAGATATGGAAGTTGAATTTGTCTTGTTAAATTGCTGCATTTGTTGTTAATGTTGGTACATTTGCAGATCAAAAGTGAAGTGAACAAGCTGTACAAATTGTTGGAAATCGATATTGATGGAATTTTTAAGTCCTTACTATTGTTAAAGAAGAAGAAATATGCTGCTCTGAGTGTGGAACCAACAGGAGATGGGAAATACGTAACTAAACAAGAGCTAAAAGGGCTGGACATAGTCCGGAGAGATTGGTGTGATCTTGCTAAACAGACTGGAAAGTAAGTTGCTTTGTGGCATTGTCTTCTTTGCTGTGTTTGAAACAGTAAACATTTGTACTTACTTTCCTAAACATTTGATACTGTGTTTCCTGAAGATCACAGTTGGTAAGTAATATCAGTGTTAGGACTTAGCTGATTTTTGGAGGAGATGTAAATTTTACCTTCTGCCATTGGTAACAGGTTAGACCTGTTCAAGTCCAAATGTCTCCAAATTTCACTCTCTGGTTTTGTGTCTCCTGTGGAAGCTGTGCTTTTGAGTTGTCAGTGTTGTAAATGTCATTTAATAAACCAGAGCTTGTGAAGATGATAGATGCTGTCAGCATTTGGAGTTGTAGGATCTAGGTCAGATGCTTTATTTCCTAAAGAAGCTGGTGCTCAGCACTTTCAGCACCCTCTAAAAAAGCTGGAAGTGCACTGGGTGCAGCCTGAGGAGGTGGCCCCTTTTCCCAAGACTGCTTCTCTTTCCTTTTGCCATGAGACTTCATTATGATGGATACTGGATTGATTGTTTATTAATTGCTGTTGCATAGGGCATTTTAATGCTTTAATTCAGTAGAAGTAATACATTTAGCCCCATAGAAAGAAAATTAGAAAGAGTGGAGAGGTGGTCATCTGGGTGCTGACTCATTGTATAATGCCTCTTGAAAACCTAAACAGCTCATGGTCCAAATGTATCCAAAAATGAATACTTTTCACATCTGTAAAAATACACCACACACTTGCTTACTGTTCTTAAGACTTGCATTTTCTAAGAAAAGATGCATCATAATAGAAGCAAATTTTTCCAAGTTAGGAATGTATTAGTAATTAAAGCTATACAAATGTTGGAGAGTGTTCTTTAGTGACTAACTCTTCTGCAGCTGGCAGATCTTCCAACCACATTTTGCAGCAATAGGCAAGACTTTGCTTACTTGGTATGTTCTCTTCTCCCCCATCTTAAGATACCTGCTATGGAATAATAAATGGAAAAATGATATGGCAGAAGAAAATACCCATTCTAAATCATTATTTAGCATTAGAACTATTGGCAATAATTTGCTTTTAGTTAAATAAGTAAATAAATAAAACACAACATAAAATATACCAGTAAATTTCTATAAATTTTTCTTCAGACTTCATCCTTGGGCTCTTTAACATCTAGAGAAAATATAGGGGAAGAGAAGATTGTGTCTGTTTTAATGGTTTTGCACATGCCAAGCTTTTCTTAATTTTTATACTATTTTTGCAGCTATGTAATTGGTCAGATTCTTTCTGATCAGCCCCGAGACATAATTGTGGAAAATATTCAAAGGCGACTTATGGAAATTGGAGAAAATGTGGTCAGTGGTCAGATCCCAGCAAATCAGTTTGAAATAAACAGGGTAAGTGATCTTGCAGCTCTTTTCTGTCTCAGAAAAGCTTTACTGTTCCTGAATATATTGACTGCTGACAAAAATATTTTTAATCCTTACAATGCTGTGAAATAGCAGGAGTTTTATTAGGTACTGGATAGTTTCAGGACATGCTGTGAGATCCTACAATTTGAGGGGAAAAAAGCCCTACTGGGGCTAGAGGCTCCAGAGTAACACCTTTGTGTCTTGTCCCATCCTGCTGTTTACCAGGCTCATTCTGCACTTTGAGAATGATATGATGTTTTCAGGAGAAGTTCTTTCCTAAGCTATTACTTTATATTTCAGGCTTGAAATGCATGAACTGAAGAATGCAATGGAAAGTAATCAAATACTCTGTTTTTTAGAAAAGCCCAGTAATATTTCCTTAGAAAGCTCTGTATAAAAAAGCTAATAGTTGCCTTGAGACCTCATTCAAGAATTTCCTGCAACAAGAAGTAAAATACTCTGCTTTGTCTACAGCAGTTTTAGCAGCAGCATTGCAGGTTTTTTTTGGTGGTTTTTCTTTTTTGTGAATCTTCAATGATAAAAACTATATTTTTAGCTTCAGAGACTCCCCTTTCCTGTTGTGGGGGGGTGTTTCACCAATGAATTAGGTATTACATGCCCCTCTTATGCTTCTAATAGAAGACATCTATCACCTGTCTATCCAAAGTCTGTTTCTCTTACCAGCTGGACATCTGTCTGCTCTGTAAGACTGTGTCAATCAGTTAAGAAATGTACTCAGGTTGTCATATGAGTGTGGAGAAATCACTGAATTTTATGGTTGGCTTAAAAAAAATAATGTTCTGATGCAAATCTTCTAAGAGCACTTAGTGTCCCTGTAAAGGATACATATAGCAGAATGTTCACTTTAAATTCCTAAAGTTCTTCTGTTTTACTACCTCAGGAAAAAACATATTTAACTATTAAGTCAAGTGTAGAAGTTGTTTCTAAGAATTGGGATGGCAGTAAATATTCAAATATAGCATTTTATTTTGTTTAAAGTAAAAAGTCACTGTGGAATTTCAGTAGTATGAGATACACAGAAATATTTAAATTCAGTTATACCTCTTGCTGCAGAACTTGTAGATACAGTCAGCTACACAATATTATTCAGATTTACTCTATGACCTTAATGGAACAGGAGTAAGAGGGTAATCTCTGGCTCTGTTTTTGTATTTTGTGTGATATTATCATCTTCACTTTAGTTTAATTTTAAAACAATTGCATTATGATCATAATGCTAATGCATTTTTCAGATAGTAATTGTAAAAACATCCTTTTGTTTTATTAATAATAACATTCATAAAATTTGAAGGACTACTGCCTAGAGCTTAATACATGGTAAATATGTTTGTTACAGTTTTTTTAGCTTGCTTTGTGTTCGAGATGAACTTGTGAATAGTAGAAGGATGAAGATAGCTGCTATGTAATCTTGTCTTTTAAAGTTCTGAGCTGTCCATCACTGAAGTAATAGATTTTTCTCATAGTTATGTTTCTGTTTTCCCCTCTGATATTTTAGGCATTGACAAAAGATCCCCAGGATTATCCTGACAAAAAAGCTTTGCCACATGTGCATGTTGCCATGTGGATAAACTCCCATGGAGGCCGAAAGGTGAAGGCAGGAGACACAGTGTCATATATCATTTGTCAGGTAAAAATGTCTTTTTTTTAATAGCTAAATACTTGGTATTGTTTTGAGATACAGCAAAAAAAGCCCATCTCAGCTCCTGGGAAAATATGTTTTGGCATTTCTTTTTGGTGAGGCAGTCTTATATTTTAAACCCGTCAGTTTTCTGTACTAAATTTAGTTTTATAGAGCATTGATTAGCTCAGCAACTATTTCCCTATAGTGACTGGTAAAATCTCCCTGAATTAATTATTTTTTTGAAATAGGCATTTAAAGAAAATGCCTAGTCTTCATTTTAAGCAGAAGAAAATTCTGGTGGTGGAGAACCTTTCATTCGTGGAAAGATGATTGTTGTTGGTTAAATAGTGTCATTGTTTTTTCCAGTCTCAACCTGTGTCTGTTCAGTTCATAGTTATTGGATCCGGTGGTACCTCTGATGTATAGACTGGGAAATTTGAGCCACTTTCTGGTTTCAGGTGTTTATCCTATAAATGCCTATCACTATTTTTCAAATACATACTCCACTTCGGTTCTGTTAATTAAAAAAAAAAAAGTGTAGGTTGAGTTAGATGGACCAAGGGATCTTTTAGGCCAAGCTGATGAACTTGACAATGTGACTATTTCAGCTCCTTCATTATTTTCGAACAAAAATTTGTATTTGACTTAATTGAGAGTTCTTAGCCTGGCACCCCAGAGCTGCCAAGACTTTTGAGAGCTGGGCCACGGGTGCGGCTGAGCAGTGGCACAATACAAGAGAAGAATATACTTGTTGAAAGAAGGGAGCTGAAGGAGTTGCATTGTAATTATTTTTGCAAAGCAGCTGGATGAGCTGAATAGTCCTAAATTAATTTTGTTCTGAATACTAAGTTGTCTGAAAGGAGTAGGAGGAACCAATGGCTTGCGGTCTGTCTTTATTAGTGATGGGTTTTCAGTCCATGGCTGCTGACCCTGTTGAAGCCAGTAGCTTATCTTAAATGAAAAAATGAAGGTGTCATGTGTTAATACATTTGTTCTATTTTGCTGAAAAAAATCAAAAAAGAGATTGTACTTAGCAAAAAAAAAAAAAACCTCCCAAAACTGCCCCACCCTGCCCCATTCCTAAAAAAGGTTTATGTCTGTTAAGGAATCTTGCAAAAATACAGCTTTAAGTTTTGCTCCAAGATTTTTGACATTTATTAAAAATTATATTTCCTAGGGCAGTTGAAGAGTGGTGTTCGGTTTAAATGAGTTACATTTTCCAAGAGTACTGTCATCTTAGATCTGATACTTAATTCCTTCATGTATATTGTTTTCAATTTAGTTACTGCCTTCCCAAATTGAATTATTTTCTCCTTATCTTCCTCTTTCAAGTTGGAGAAGGATGTAATGTATATTTTAACCTCTAACTGGTGTTTCTCTCTTGGCTTGAAATGTCACCATACATTTCTTTCAGTATTTCTGAATATTTTAGAATTTCCTTATTCTAATCAATGCTGTTGCCTCTGTTATTTATTCATATGCCAATGAGTGCTGGTCCATTCTCTGACCATTCATTCTATTCATTTCTTTATAGAATTAAAGAACATAAATTTCCTAGCAAAACAGATATAGTTTTGATATCCACGACTTAGAATTTGCTTGTTGTGCAAAATGATAATGCTGGTTTAGTACAAAGTGAATCCAAAATGCATGCCCTCTGTGTATTTTTAACTGGGCTGATGGTTACAATGTGTTTTCATTGTGCATTTCAGAATTGACAGATGGGACTGTTTACTCTGTCTACTCGTACTGATTTGCACGTGTAGGCTACAATAATACAAGCTGGTTTTGCATTCTTGAACTTGCTAGTTGATGCCAGCATCAGCAATGCAGTTTTTTTACTACTGCTGGATTTGTATTGGATGCATAATAAGTCAACCAAAAGAGTGTGTAACAATTTTGCATTAAAATAATGCATAATATTTGAAGCATAATCCTTTGTATGGACTTTTTTCACACTTTTTTTTGTATGTGTCTCCTTAGGACGGATCAGATCTCAGTGCCAGCCAGCGAGCATATGCTCCAGAACAGTTAAAAAAGCAAGAAAATCTTAAAATTGATTACCAGTACTACCTGTCACAGCAAATACATCCAGTAGTTGCTAGAATATGTGTGCCCATAGAGGGAATTGATTCTGTTCTTATTGCAACATGGTTAGGTAAGTATTCTAAATTCAGTTTATTTGAAGAATTTCAAGATCCAAAGTGAGAGGTTTTAATGTATGTTTCTCAACAGAAATGCTTCAACAGAAACATTGAACCTATGGAAAGCAGTGTGGGCTCTAAGTGTATTTATGACTTCTGCAGAGTAGTATTTTTTCAGAAGGTGATCACTAACATGAATTTCATCTTACAATCCCTGTACAGAGTTGCAAAATCTGCTTTTCAGAAATGACGGTGCTATTGCATGTCTTTGAGATTTTCTTAAGTTACTAAAGGAGTTCTGGAGTGTGCATCTGAACTAATATTTTTCCAGAGAGAAATGCTGGTATCTCTGGCATCTTCCCAGGAGGAAAAGCGTCATAATTACAATGAAAGAATACAAATTTTTAATAGGATGTAAGTGAAGACTTGATTGCTAGAACTGACTTAGTGGATAACAGAAACATAAAATCTTAGTAACAGTTTTAACTGCTTCATATGGAGGAATTAAGTGGTCCCAAAACTAAGAAGTGCTGTCAAAAAAATGTAACTAATGTTAGTGATCCATGAAATCAACAGTTTTAATTCAAATGAGCAACAGGGAATTGCTCTTGTTAGAGTTGTCTAACAATGCTTGTTAGAGTTGTTTTTCCTTTTAAAAGGATGTCTAATAATTAGAATTAGAGATTTTTCTGCCCAACTATGATTGCCTCTTTCTTCTCTATTCCCTGGGCTTCTTACCTAGAAAAACTGAAAGGTTGAAAATTTGTTTACAGTTCTATTGGGTCTCTGTTCATGAAAATGCTATACTCTGTGTGTGTATTCCTTTTAGTGTTGTTTCCTCCCCAGAAGTGATTAACCAACAGACTTGCCTGACCTACTTGATAAACAGTGATTTGTAACTCACACATACTTCATTATTTTTAAAACTATTGCTGAAGGGCATGAAAAAGTTGTTAATCTTGCTGGCTATGAAATTCTTGACAAGACTGCCTTTTCTCTAGGAGAACTTCTTGGAGAGTTGCACTGTGTTAGTTTAATAGTTTGTGCTATGCCCGTGTCTACAGAAGTTCAGACCTGCAGAAATTACTTAGTTCAGAATATTGCAATGCTCAAAGGAAGAGTTAGTTGTCAGCATTTTGTGTTTAGGTAAAGGAGGCCAAATCCAGGATGAGATTGTACTTAGAATGTGTGCAAGAAAGGTGCCTTGCTGTTTCTCAGGAAGGAGGATGATAGCCTTGAAGGATCTTAATCTCCCAAGACAATCCTTGTAACATGCAGCTTTTCCCATCTCCATTTCTGAGTTGTTGAGAAGAGGTTGAAGACACAAATTCTTCTTTTTCTGAGTCAGCAAAGGTGTCTCTTGGAGGCATTTGATGTACCACATGTCCTCAACAGCTCTCATGCTTTGAGAGCTCCACACATGCAGGCTGACCGCACAAATCATCCTGTTTATTATGTGGCAAGGCCTTGGTATCCAACTTTCCCTTGATGTCAGAGCCGACTGTGTGGTATGCCTGAGTGAAAAGGTCAAGCACTCTTGGTTAGGTTGAAGGGGTTTAAAATAGGCAGCAAACTTGTACTTCATTTGGGTAAAAGACAGGAATGATTTCTGAAGCTAGTTTATTTTTATTGGCAAAGATTGTTAGTCTTGTAGAGTTAAGCTCAAATTCAAAGCTCTTTATCCACAGCAGGTTAGATTTTCAGAAAAGTTTGGCTTCCTTCAGACACCTAAATTAACTAGCAGATCTTAAGAATTCTGTGCCACTTGATAGCACCTACTGTTTGCAAGTGCCTGTGTTGCTTTTTGCACTGTAGTACGTTCCAGATGAAGATTTCTTTTATGGTCTGTAATAGCATCATGCAGCTGAGAGTTTATTAATAGTCCACAATTGTCAGTCTGAAAACCTGTATGTATCTATTACAGTCTTAGAGCTGAAGTGTGTTCAGTTTGACCTTGCTGTACAGTCAAAATTTTATCACCACCTCTAGCTTTGTTTTCTGGGGAAAGCTTAAATTGTGCTTGAGGGTAAAGTCAGGTCTCTATCAAGACTTCTGATCTGCTTAGGTTTTCATATACAGCGCTTGATCAGAGCTGTACATTAGTCGTTGTAAGCTGGAGTTATCTAACAGGGTGTTTTTAATGGTACTGGAGGCACAGTCAAGTGGTTTTCTTTCATAAAAATCAAAAATCCTTTGTAAGATAAAAAAAGAGTACAAGATACTTGAGTCCAGCTTGGTAAAACAAGCAAATATGGAAACTGTTTACTGATCTGTGATGCTAAGTTGGGCTTTTTAACTTAGTATTTTCATCATTATATACATCCAAATTCCCATTCTTTTTCCCATCTTGTTGCAAAAGGAACGTTTTCCCGTTCTGAAGGATACGTAAGCATCATATCCATGGACCAAAACCCTGTTGCATTCTCACTATACTTGTCTTCCTCCACTGATCAGATTTATTGTATTATGTAGAATATGTGTCTGTATAGGGATAATGTTTGTAGAAAAAAGATCTTGGCTGCATGTTTAACAGAATCTACAATAATGTGTGTTTATAAGGTGAATGTTTCCTGTCACCCTGCTAGTCTGAGTAGATAAAATTGAACTCTGCTAGGGAAGCTTGGCTCACATCAAAGTGCTGAAAAGTTCTTTGTGCTGTCTGTGCTCAAATCAAGTAATTTTAAATCATATTAGACACTGAAGAACAGGAGCAAATAATGCAACTTAAAAATTGCAGAGAACCCCTTCAATGTCATATTTATTCACTATGGAATCAAGTTGAAAACCACCTTTTGTTTTGGGGCATTGTAGGAGGTCTGCTGCTTGTTTGAGAGATGGAAGTTCATTGTTCTTAAAAACAAGAGCCTCCTGGGCATACTCCTGCATTCACTCTCTTTGTCTTCAAGCAGTTGTATCATTGAATATATCTGATCTTACTAAATCTTGGAGACCTTACTTCATCCTTAGGATATCTGGCTTTTAAACTGGAAGAGCTGTATGGCACAGCAATTCTCTCACTGTATTTCAAATAAGTGTTTTTTGTTAATACATAAGTACTGCTCCTTGTCTTAAAGAAAAGTTACATCTTATTTGTGTGTTGTCAGAAATAAGCAGACATGGAAGCAGAGTTCTTTAACCATGGGACTTCTGTAGCTGTTACTACAGAATATTACTTGTTTCAAATGATGGAAGTTGATGACTGCTGTCCAAGACAGTGTCATGATGTTCTAAGAGAGACAGTATCGTGATGTTCTGCTGCCTTACAGAGGGATGTGCACACTGGTGCTCTGCAGATTGCTTGGCATTGTGCATTTCTTAGCTAGTCTGTCTGCTTTTAGGGAGTCATTACTGGGTCCTGATGAGGCTTGTCATTAGGAGTACTTCCCAGTTCTGCTCCCTGCTTTGAGGTGGTGTCTATGTGTTAGCTGCTTCTTATAAGGAAACACACCAACACCAAATATATTGCCTTTTTTATTGTATTTTTTAAAAAATTATTGTTAGAGAATCATTTAGGTGTCTTTAATATAGTATGTACAAGCTTCACAGACAGACTCTCCAGACAGAAATCAGGATGGATGCACTCCTTGTGGCACAAAGAATTTAGCTCAGGTTTTGACTTTTTTGTTGTTTTGCTTACATTAGGGACTGAAGTGAAAGGAGAGTGATGAAAATTAAAATTAAAGTTGTGACGACAGTTCATGACAACACTAACTTAGCCCTACAGCGTGACCTTTGCTGTTTGCGGTCTAGCTGGGTGTTCTGAGATGCTCCAGACCTGAGACGCGTTAAAGCGCGTTGGAATGAATAAAAGAAAGAGTGCAAATACGAATGAATAAAAGAGACAACTCTAAGATGAATGAATAAAAGAAGCAGTTCCGATGTGAGTGAACAAACGAGCGGCCCGGGCGGGCGGCCGGCCCCGCGGGCTCCGCTGCAGTGCGCGGCGCCGGCCGCGGGGTGGCAGCACCGGCTGCCGATTGCCGGGGTCCCTGGGGAAAGGCGCGGGGGAACTGCCGCGCGCCCCGGGCACCTGCGGCTGGAAGGGCACGGCCCCGGGAACGGCCCCGGGAACGGTCCCAGAGACAGACCCCGGGAATGGCCCCAGAGACAGACCCCGGAACGGCCCCGGGAACGGCCCCCAGAGACAGACCCCGGGCCCAGCCCCGGGAACGGCCCCCACAGACAGACCCCGGGCCCAGCCCCGGCCCCCGCCCGGCGGCCGCGGCGCTGCCCCAGCGTCCCTGTGCCCGCTGGGGAAGGAAGGGCACAAGCGACCCGCAGAAATGTTGCTTTTAGAATACTGTGCTTGGTAAAAATCTCTGAGCGTTTTTTCAGGTTTTTGAGTGATCTGCTTTGCTTGCCAGTTAGTAATGGTTCTAATAATTCTGTTAAATAATTCAGGAGCAAGTCCCCGAACTTAGCTGTATTTGTTAGGTTGGGCACTCTGCACATTTGTCATGTTGCAGTGCTTTGTCCTGCATCCAGCCTTGTCGTTTTGGTGAGGTCATAAAGCTTTAAAGCTTACATGCAGTGCAGGTAATTTAATGATAGCCCGATAACCCTGAAGACTTCTTCCTGTCAGAGTAAGTCAAAGTCGCTTGATTTTTATTTTTTCTTGATGTCATCAGTGTAAAAAAAAAAAAAAAAAAAAAAAAAAAAAAAAAAAAAAGAGTTCAAAGTTTACTGATTAGTCTCATCCTATTCATTTAAGAATTACCAAAACCAGATATTATTTTTTTTTCATCGCCCAATTAGGTAGCCCCTGTTTTGTGTACCAAGTAAAATAACGTGACCAGTGTGACCTGGTCCGAGAGTATATGAGGTAGGTGCTGAAATGGATTAACTGAACCAACTAACTATTCCTGAAAGGAGATAATAAATAAAATAGTTCCCAATTCCACGAGATAATTAAGGTAGGCATGTTCTTTCAAAACCTGATTTCTAGTCTGTTTTATTTCACTGTGGCTGTTTGCACACCAAGACTCAGATGTATGCTTGGTTCAGCACAATATTTTTTTGGTTGTTTTTTCCAGCCAAAACAGCTAAGAAAGTTCAGAGATAGGTGTGATTTAAATTCTCACAATAATTTTTTTTTTTTGTTAAATTAATATAAAATGGCCAATACTTGGTCACTGTTTTTCACTCAGTGTAGGAGAACTGCAGTTGTCTGAAGACCAGAATTTGTCTCCTTTTATCTTTTATCCTTTACTTTGCTCCATACTTGCGTTTTGAGAAACAACCAAAGATTTCTAGCTGAACTCTGGTATCTGTATCAGAAAGTTGGAATGATGTTTCTCATTCCACTTCTGAACTCAGAGTAAACGGAGAATTTTTGTTTTCACAATTAGTATCTTAGATCCAACCTACTACATACTTGATTTTTTGCAAAATCAGAATACTGAACTCCAGTTCCCTTTCTAAACCTATTATCTACTACCTGTGTGCTGCATATATATATTACCAACCCTTCTATTAAAAAAAAAAAAAAAACCAGAAAAAAACCCTACAGTCTTTTTTGGGGATATCATGTGTATTAAAGTGTAAACTATGCTGTTAGCAGTGTATTTTGCATTTGCTTTTTTCTTTAAATGAATAGTGGACAACTGTATTAAAAGTTTAGAAGCCTCCCGGAGGTGAATTGTTGCCTTTCTGCATTTACTTTTTTTTCTTTTGGCAAAATTGGGAAGATTGGATAAATTTTAGTGAAACCCATATTCTATCAAGACCCACATAAACTTATTTGGCAATGGAATTTTTCCTGGTGCTTGAATTTGTTTTAAGACTGCAACATAAAAATTGAGAATAGTGGTATTAAAGTCAGACATAAAATCTTTTATGTAAAGACAATCTGCCTGTACAACACAACTGTTATAAGTGCAATAATATTTGTGTAGTTTACCTGAATATTGTTCCTAACCATTGTCTTTAAGTGTTACGGTGCAGTTATAATAAGGTGAAGCTTCACTTTCTATTTCTAATCTTGGTTACATTTCTTATAGGAATTATTACTTTTTAAAACTGAAATTTATACAGGATTTGGTTTAATACATGGTAATCTGTTACTTGGCTTAATGTCTGTTAAAAATATTTTTTAAAGTGCTTCTCTGATCTTTTTGTTTTGCTACTAAAGTGAGCCATAGTTTTCTGAAGGTTTTCTCCTACATGCTCATTCAATTAAGTTTTTTTTTTTTTTCTGAACATGTGTTTTTTCCTAAAGTTAACAAAAAAAACCCTGTAAATGAGATGCATGGACTTTTAAAATGTTGCACATGACAAAGGATGACAGAATTTGAGGATTTTATTAAGTTTACTTTGGCAGTCTTATTCCTAGAACAGTGAACTTCATTCTTGCTTGCTTATTTACTTATTTGTGGTTGAATCAGTATTTCTGGGATCTCTTTTGTGTATTTATTTGTTTAAAATCTTGAGTTCTGGCAATCAAAAATAAAGCACTTTGTCTCCTGCGCTGCGGTTTTAAATGCTGCTGCTGAATTTTAACCACTGCATTAGATTGAAACCTCCATGCTGTTAACCACTGAGCCAAAATGAAATCGACCACTGCATTGAAATCAGAGTTGGCAGTTGTGTACGGACTTGAAGGAGTTGGTAATAGCAGTGCACCCGTGTTTCTTTAATGGGGTTTTTATTCTCTGTTTTTGGTATTAATGGTGCCATTTTGATTTAAAGACTGTTTCTTAATAACAATGCACATTTTTATTGAAATATTTTCAATGTAACTTAAGAAGGGAATAGCAATAAAGCTATCCTTTAGGAGTGGTTTCCTCAGAAACAAAATGTTCTCTTGCATACTCCCATGATAATGCAGCATGCTTGTTTTATTTGTAAAGCAATCTTGCGTAAGAAGATAAGTAAGATGATTTCTTCATGTCTCCTGAACCTTTATTCATGGTTAAAAATTGTAGAATGTATTTATGTTTTATAGAGGAAGTTTTGCTAAGGAGAGATTTTCAGCTTCAGAATTTACATTTTGTAACTTTCTTTTGAATCTGCTTCACCAAGCATATGAAAAATAAGCCTGCTTGCATGGTTGACCTCTTAGTCTTTTGAAATTTTTGTTTCTTATTAATAGGACTGGATCCCTCCCAATTCAGAGTGCATCACCATTACCATAAAGATGAGAATGATGCCTTGGTTGGTGGCCCAGCTCAGCTCACTGATGAGGAGAAATATAGGGATTGTGAAAGATTCAAGTTTTGCTGCCTCAAATGCGGAACAGAAAATATTTATGACAATGTCTTTGATGGTTCGGTTAGTTGGTTTTTTTGTTTGTTTCATTTCTGTTCATTGGTGAGAGAGAAAAATGCTTGTAGAGAGAACAGCTTTTCAGATAGGATTCAAATGATGTAGCAGAAGATACCATATTGTTTCAGTCCTGCTATTTATAGCTTTGGAGCAGATAATTGCTGATAGGATAGTGCTGAAATATTTTTCCCATTTTTGCATTTCAGCTGCGTCGTCTCGCAGAACGTGTGCGATTATCTGGCTTCATTAATCTGTTTGCCCACAGTCGTGAATGATTGTTGCTGTTACTTTTTAAAGGAATCCTTATCTTAACACCTTAGTAACTTCTAGCTCTCTATGTAAAACTTTTGTGTAGCAGTGGCAGTTTCTTATCCTAAATCATATTAATTGGAGCAAAGTGCTTTTTAAACTTGTGTTTATCTTGCTACATCCCACCTCCCTTCTTGAGAGTAAGGTTTTTCTATCTTATCTTTCCTTCTGTCTCTGTGAATTGAATAAAAAGTCATAGGGGTACATTCTTGTTGAGAAGTTCTGCCAAAAAATGTATCTCTGACCTTGGATCACAACTTGAAGTGGGGCCAAGTATTTAACTGTACAGCATGTTATGTATGTATTAGTCATCGGCAAATTAGTGAGCTTCAGAGTAGTGAAAACCTTGAAACTGAAAGCAAATAAATCTTTTATCTAAATTAAAAGTAATTATTTTAAGTTAATTTGGACAAACAGCAGATGTTTTGCATTTTTTGAATCAAAATAAAGCGGTCTTTGGAAGCATGTAAGAGGAAAAGACACAAATCGAGAGATACTTTGTGAATCCTTGACTTTTTTTCATCGCAGCTGTAAATAAGGCAGTTAATTGCATGTAGATTTGACAAGTTGCAGATGGGCTAACTGGAGAGGAGTGGATGTCAAACTCCTTGAAAAAAAAATACATCTCCACCACCAAACCACAGAAGAAATCCTGAAACCAAGCCAAAAATCCCGTCTATTTCACCTGGAATTAATTAGTGTTGTGAGTGGGGGTTTAGCCAAGATGGCTCACAACAGCTAAGTCTTACCTTGCAAGAAAGTTTTCTGAAAGCTGTATGACTGTCCAGCCTACCAGACTGCTGTTGCATTAGTGAGAATTCCACAAACTTAATTTTAGCTGTTCACACAACACTTCCAGGTCCTGAAATTTTAATGTCCGGTGTTCAGAGGTTTTTAAAAATAAGGGAATGAGATAGTGCAAAACTGTAAGAGCTGTTCTTTGAACTTGGAGAAAGCAAAAGATGATAATGTGGTTTTTCTTTGTGTATTTTGTCCCTACAGACCTGTTGGTAATTTCATAAATTAGTATCTATAAGGTTGATTTCAAGGTTCTCAGTTCTCTGGTCAGTGGAGTGAGGCTGAAGTTTGTCTCTGAGGAAACAATAAACCTGTTTTTTTGCATGATTTGCCCACAGATTTTTTTTTTTAATTCAACATCTCTTTCTGAATTACTACCTTAGTGGTGTATTCTCTAAAAGAGCTTTCCTTAAGAGCAAAATGAAGATATCTTTGCCCTGCAGTTTTCCCATATGGGTGTGGCCATCCATGATGGGAAGAAAGAAGGCCCAGATACTATGGGCCCTTTAAGACTGTTACTTTTAAAAATATATGTATTATGTCTAAACTCCCGTGGTAACTTTTGATTCCATCATCTGTCATAATGATGCTGGTTTTACACTTCTGTTTGCAGGGGCGATTTATTGAACCCAGCTTGCTAAGATGCAGCAAGACAGAATGTGATGAGCCTCCTTTCAGCTATGTGGTTCAAATGAACAACAAGTTACTGCTGGATATTAGACGCTACCTCAGAAAATACTACAGTGTAAGTATGCAGAAAATACTCTGTTGTATGAAATGAGTTTTTCAAGTAGTGATGAGTTTTTTGTGAGTGTCATGTTACCCTATATAGTGTAAGGTAGTAGTGTGCAGCATCAGCCCCCAACTTTCTGAAAATAAAACAATCAGTGAATTAAAAAATCAATTTAGAATGTTTGTTTTCTCAGTTCAACCTCAAGATAGATATATTTACATTTTTGTAACTGTGTGTGTCAGCATTATTACAGATGTAGTAGCTCTCTGTTTTCCAGATTTTTAGCCAGAGTGCATTATCTCAATGCTTTTACAAAAACCTGTGAAGCCTATCAAATATGTAGATATCGGTTTCTCATGTAATTGAAATACGATTCTCTTTCTTCAACTCAAATTGATGTATATTGTCTTATATTGTGAAAAGGAAACCTGAATATAGCTCTATAAAAATTCTTTGAAGAACTGTAGGAAGGGAAATTCTATGAATCTTTCTTAATAATGATTGGGAAGGGAAAAAATGATGAGAAAGATGGGTAGTTAATTAAATTGATATAATTCTCTTTTATTGAGGAGTAATGAAAGGAATCCAAAGTGCCAGTGGTAGTGGTTGGCTTTGTATGGCTTTTTGGGGAAAAAAGGTGTAGTATTTAAAATTCCTATCTTCTCACTGTCCAACATTAGGACGAAACTCACCATTCTTTTTAACTTCTATCAATGTATTTTGTATTTCTAATATTCTAGAAGCATTATATTTTGTGAATTGGCATATAGCTATTTTGGTCAAATTTTCATAGAGCATGTCATGCTTATTGCCTGCCTGCTTGTTTTTATTGTCCAACATTGCCTGCTTGCACAACTGCAGGATGGACATAAATTTTGAAGATATTAATAACCTTTGTGTGCTCATAACTTTTGATACACCCAAAAAAATAAATAGTTTTTGAAAATTTGGACTGTACCAAATTTGAATGATGTACCTTATTTGTTGTGTGTTTTCTTTTGCAATCAGCAGCTTCAATACTAAGAATTATTACTGTGGTATAATACTAAGTTTAAGTATATTAAAGTGTATGTTTTGTGTTATCTTTCTTCTATACTAGTTCTTATTGCAATTATAGGTGAATGTTTTCTAAACACTTTTCTGAAAGCATAATAATTTCTGAAGGTAAAAATACTTCTTTTGAAGATCTTTGCATCTGAAGGAGCACAAAACTTTCTAGAGCTATTTAAATTTTAACATTATTTCCCAAGGTAGAGGTATATTGTTCCTTTCCTTTGAAGTTAAAGGTGACCTGGGGACAAGGTGAAGTCACCAAAATGTGACATCTCATGTTACTTTATTGCGAAGTCCAACTGTCTGCAGAATTATCATTATATTAAAGTGTTATTAAATAATGGGTCAAAGTAATATATTTTCACTGACTCTTTTTGTATGAAAATTGGGTTTTAGATTTAATGTACATGCATAATGATAATACAGTGCCACATGCTGAATAATTTCAGGCATATAAAGTGTTTGAAAACATGTGCAGAAGATATGCAATAGTAAACTTGTATGAAGAAAGATGCCTTTAAGGGCAGAAGAAATTCTTACTGCTGATAAGAACAAAAAGTGATGTAATGTTTTTACTTCTGTTTTTTTTGTTGGTTGTTTTGTCTTTTTTTAAAACCAAGCTAGGAACCAAACTGTAATGTTTGAATACTGAACATTGCAATTTACATGGTATATTGGATAATTAAGATATTTAAAAAGAAAAATTATTTGTCTATGTAAGTAAATGCCTCAGAGGTTTTTTTTAGTAGTGAGAATTTACTTTTAAACTGGTTAGCTATAATAAGGTTTAAAACTAGTTTTTGACTGTGGAATACATTCAGATCTGGAAATGTGTGATTAATTTCCAGATTGTACATTAATTTTCTTTTTACAAAAGGGCTTTTCATAGAGTTGGGCAAGTAAACTTTATATATTGATAGCTCCTATAAAATCAGATGCTGAGACTTTTAGTTTATTTCTTTCATCCAGTACTTGTAGTGGCTATATAACAGCTGGAGTTGAAATTAGTGTTTGCACTAATATATATAATCCTATAAGCTCTAAAGACACATCCAGAAGTATTATGGCAAAAAACTGTCTGAACAAAACATTTAATGAAACTTTCGGCCTCTGATTAAACAATCTCCTATTGTAATTGCAGCTGAAAGGCACGGAAATATCAATTTGTAAGGGTCAAATATATTGTCACTCCATTTAAATTTTTTTAGATACTATTTTGTTTATATATTTTTCAAATGGCACTTAATACAAAACATAAAATGCAAAAATGTGGTTTTTAACCTGTAAATAATGAGCTACCTTTTATGAAGACAGCCCTATCAGGAGCCTTTCAGCCTGATTCACAGCTCACTGAGATGAATAAGTGTACTTTTTTTCAGTGAGCTTTGAATCAGATTTTTTTTTTTAAGTGTTTAATTGTTCAAGATATTGCTTGTTTTTTCCTGTAGACCATGTGGTTTTTATGTGGTTGTATAAATTTAGGGGCAGGGAGGAGTGCCATAAAATCTAAAAGTAGAAAATCTACTGCCCTTTTTGGCACATGAAACTGTGTTAAATAAAAAAATACAACCATGATATACAACATTCCTTTAAAAAGATGCAAATGTAAGTGCATAAATAGAATTTTGAGAGCCTGCTACAATCCTATTGTTTTTGTAAATTACTTGCCTTTATATGAAAATATCTGCTTCTGCAATCGTTTTTTGCCATGAAACATTGAAATGTTTTATATTTGACTTCTAAAACATATCTACCATTGCTCCAGTATTTACAGATTTCTTAATGGTATTAACAATATCAATTCTGATAATCTTACTCTTAAAT